CTACTTTTCCCTCATGTTCTGACATCATCCCTCTATTGGCTGTGGTTTTGTAACTCTGCACCAGTTACTCTGCACCATCCAGCCTGATTTCCCACCTCCCACAGTATCTCACCCCAGTGAGTTTCTCTTTTACATTTACTTTTAGGGGTGGGGTGGGGAAAAAAGTGTATTTCCTTCATTTTTATTCTACTAAAATTCATCTTTCAAATAAGCTGGGAAAATTGACAGGAGAGAAGTAATGGGACACTGTAGTTAGAAGACAAAACATTATTTATCACTACTGAGGAAAACTGTCATTATGCTGATTAGATTCACTAAATCAAAGCACAGGAAATTGCACGATCAAGAAATACATTAGTAGAAATTACCCAACAGCTTTACACGTCAATTGGCTAACACACTTGTATTTTAAAATATTCCTTTGTGTAACCTGAAACCTGCAACAGTGGGACGGCAAAACCAAAACCATTTCTAAAATCCAACCCTTGCGCCAACAGCAGAATTCACACACACATCGTTTTCCCTTCACCTGCCTACAACCACCACCTTTTTGCTTCTCTACAGTACTAGAGATTCAGATGTTTTTCCTCTCCTGACACATCACAACTCCCAACTCCCACACATTCATACATACCCATACATAAAACAGCATCAAGCTATTGACTGGCTGATTCCACATCAAGCCTGAATTCCTTACCCTCACCTTTCGGTTCTAAACAGTCTGGCCCACCTACATCTTGGCTCACATTGTCTCCTGTCACATCTTTTTTCCTCTGTCCCAATCGCAAATCCATGCTTTTTCCTCAGCTTCCTCTTCCTTTGTGCCAAGTCCCCTCCCTCTCCTTCAAAACCCTCCTCAAAACTCACTTCTTTTGGTTCGATTTCCGTCACTAATCTCAGCTCCGGCGCTATCTGCTCCCTCTCGCGCGCCTAATTACATCGAAGATAAAACAAAAAACATGAAACAGAAAAAGTAAGTTATCCGAATACTTCATATGTGCTCTCACAAGAGCAGTCTCAATATCCCCATCTTTTTTTATTTTCTCTCTGTACTATGTTAGTCACATTTCTGTGTGATTTCAATTAACTTGCGCTTATCTGCAGAGCAACCTAACCTATTGTCTCATTGCATTGAACTACACAAGTATTTTCTACTCTTTAAAAATTTTGCCTTTCTGCCCTCACAGCTGAGTCTTATTAAAACACACTTCTGTTGCAACTCAAAAATAGTTCGAGTGTTTACTTTAAGTGTCTTCCTTTAAGACATGCTAAGCTCAAATCAAAGAATTAACTAGTCTGTATCTCTCTTTCTCCATGTAATTCAAATTCTGCATGCTTAGCACACACCTAAATAGATCTTACACTTGTTAAATTTGCTGGTGCACTAGAACTTAAAAGTATCTTAAGCTTACACTCCACACTTGAAATGTATTTTTCTCTCTGGAAACACACAAAAAAAACAAGTCATAGGTTTAAATTAAGCGTGAAGTGTTGGATCTGCCAGCTCCACTATCTTTCAAATCAAAGTATAGTATAGGCATTTTTTTGTTTTATATAATTTTTAGTAAATGTCTTCTTATAAAATGAATAATGCAAAAAAGCAAAAACATCTATTTGAGTACTAGGCCTATATGAAGCTCAGCTTCAGATAACTGATTTTCGAACTAAATATTAGATCATATTTTTATTCTTAAATACCACAAAAATACTCTGAAAAACATTTTCTATAGCACAATGATGTAGGAGATGTTGCAGAAAAAAAATATCTTTGCCTTTAAAAGCTAGAGAACTTTATGCCTATCTCTAATTTTGCAAAAATGAAATGCTACAACTAGTATCAATTAGCATTATAGAAAGCATAAGGCGTTGTTCTTGCTGCAAGACAACTTCAAAATTCTAAATCCATCTCAGAAAGTGTAAATTTGGCCCCCTTATTCTTTCTCAAGACTTCACTGAAGCCACCTACATTCAGCCCCTGAGATGCATGAGACTGACACTATAACTCTCAACTATTGAGAAAAATTAGAAATAATAAATGAGCTGGACTGCACCAAGCATGACTGGACATCAAAATGGTTGCTAAGAAATGGTTCTCCTACTTTTTTTTAAAGCTGAAAATGCCTGTGGCCTAAGAGTAGTAACTCAAGATTAGACACAACACAGCTCCCTAGAAAAAGCAAGGATAGAGTAAGGGACTTCTTTACATTGTCACAGAAGGGCTATTTCAGTTCAATCACAACCATATTACCCAAGTTTTCCTTTTATTGAAGTAAAAGGAAATACTCTAGCTTCCTAACTTACTGTCATACTGAAAGTATTGTTTGAAATATTATATACTGGCTCAACAGAGTTATTGTAAGACTGCAGCAAGAAGCCAGTGTTAGTGTGACTATGGTTTTCAGTTTAATCTCTTTAAGGAAACATAGTTTAAATAGTGCAGTGCTGCCTGCATGAAGTTCCAATGTTCTTTGCATAGATGATCAACCCTAGTAATACAGCTACCTGTAACCTGGAGGGTAGGATATAGAAATGTTTTCAAGCCAATTTGCTTATCCATCTGCTCTTGTCACAATATGGATGGTTAAAACAGTAATTATGAAATACCTGAATTTTGTTTGCCTAGTTAGGAGGAGTATTCCGAAGAAATCTGAGAGCAAGTAAGTGCAGTTTTTTTTCACATTTCTTGACTCTAGAGTCTCAAATAGTTTCAGTGGAATAACTTCTCATTAACTATGAAAATACAGTTACCATGCAAGATAAATGCAATGGTATTTCCATTGAAAGTATGTAGCAGTTCTCAATGTTGTTTTCTTTTTGCAAGTAAAGATATGCCCAATGACTAAATCACGTCCTCTACTTCACAGCCTCCCTCAACTTCTACTCAGCATCTCTTCTTTAACAGCAACTGGACATTATCAGAGATAAACAAGTATTTATCTGTCTGAATCTACAAAAGTTCTGATACAAGGGAGAAAACCCCCACAGAACAGTCAAGTTAATAAGAACATGTGGGCAAAAAGCTACCACAGTAGCAAACCAAAGAGATAGGGTGGAGGGTGGGGAAGGGAGAGAAAAAATAAATAAATAAAATTATCAATCAGCAGCACAGACTACTGAGAAGCTAAAGCCTTTTCCTGAAAGGACACCAGAGGAAAACGTCTCTGGATGCCTCTGGTTTTGTAAACTCTGCAAGACAAAACTCTGGGAACAGATTAGTCAGCAATGGAGTGTACAGCAGCTAGGCATTTCAGATAGAGGCAAGACTACTTGAGCAGCACACTCTGGGGCATCATCCACAAAACTGGTGAAGCAAGGCAGTGCAGGACCTAGAATAAAGACTGTAATCTAAAACTAGTTGTGCTAGATGACATTTTTACTATCTCAAGATATGAAAAAAACCCACCTAAAAAATCTATATAAAACCTAACAAAGAGATACCTGAAATATTCTTACCTGCCCTTTTGCATCCTCTGGCATAGATTTGATATGCATCCTCTTAAGACATCGAATAACACCATCATAGAACTGTACTGTGAATGTTCCTAGAAAAGGATTGATGTAATCACTATGAGTAGTTAAGAAACAAACACACCTTGTTACTATGAAAGCTTTAGCAAAATGTTTTATAGGCTATATGAACAAAGTAACCAAGTGTTACCTACAGTCAGGATCGAGAATTTTAAGAAAAAATAAATTATAGCCTCAATGAAACCCTGCTTTTATATTGTTGCTTTTTGTCCACTTTGGACAATTTCAAGCATGTTTAAGCTATTGTGTTACTTCTGCTCATAATTCATTGAAAGATTTATTTAAGCAGCCACAATAGAGAAACAATTCAATTCACAATCAAATCTTCGTTTGCTTTAAACTACAGTAAGAACTTCAACTTCTACTTATGTTCATTAGAAATATCACCTCATCATGAAGTATTGCATCTAAGGTGCTCCTTTATTTCCCCATTTCCATTGTTTTTCTTCAATAAAGAGAACTTTAGAGAAATCTACCATTCCCAAAACAATTACAAAAATTTAAATATATCATTAGCCCAAATCAATAATTGTACAAAATATTCATAACAGTGTGCACAGGATATTCTGCTCATCACTGAGGAAACATGAAGTACCTTTTTTTCCCAAGAGAAATCCAATTTTCTAATTTCACACAGAAAAAAGATGAACCTCTTATTAAATTCGATAGAATAGAAACATTTTCACTTAATATTGAGGCAATGAGGAAAACTTTACAGGCATGTCACTTTAAGCAGACTACAGATATAGCATAGCATATAGAAACACTTCTTACCAATGGATCATACATGAATACATACCCTCCTTATTAATTGCTTCAATCTTTGCAGGGTAATATCGACAGTCTGTCCAACGAGCTAGGACTTCTTCTCCAGGTTTAAAATCCTATTTTATACAAATTTAGTCATTAATATTTTAATTATTTAGATTTTTTCCTAAAAAGAATTAAACATTATGTGCTAGAGAGATTTAATGTAGGAAAACAAGTAGGACAGTTTACAAAAAAAGAGTCAAAGACAAAATAAATATGCCACTTACAACAAATTCTTCATCATCTTTCAGCCCTTCTTTCCTTAATGCTGGTCGCTCCAAGGGTCGCAACCTATTGCTGTCCCAGTAAATCCACTCATCATAGCGATGACTCCAACGTTCAAAATGGACCAACATCTTCCCCTCCTCATAATCTATCTTCTCAATACGAGATGGATACCTTGAACGATAAATGTAAATTGATAAGTCTCAAAGCTTGTTCAAAGATTTGAGGTTTGGTTTGTTTTTTTTGCATTCAACAGTGCTTATATCACGATTCAGAAAGTACTGAAAAATCTCCAAATCTGAAAAAGACGAAGTTACTAAATTGACAGCAGGATAACATTTAGTTTAAGAGTTATCTATACACATCAGTGATATGTCATCAGCTTCATCCTAGTCAGATGATTATACACAAATTTAAACCTCAAACTCCCAGACCAAAACTGCCTGAAATTGGCATTAGAAGTTAGTGCTTATCAGTTTTAAAACCTGTGTTTCTCTAAAGTAAAATCCTGTAAGAGTTCTCACTTGCTTGGGAATGGAAAGGATATAAAATAGTTTTAGGAGTATATTCATTACCTCTGTCATATGAGATGTTTCATCACACTATACCATTGATTCCAGACAAATCTGAGCAACTAATCAAACCCAGAAGTCAACAGAACATTCTTATTTAATCTAAGTCACTTACCAATTTATAGATCAGCTTCCATGACTTCACTGCCATTAAATTCAATTCACAGTAACTATTTTTTAGCAGTCATCTCTCTAACTCCACATGCTCTTAAATAAATATGTAAGTCTTAACTAACACATGGATTTTACTCTCAGCAAACACTGCATGTGCTCAGTAGAACTAACCAGGACTGAGCTGCAACCAGATCAAGTCTTGGGCATCTAATTTTGGGTGTGGTATAGATATAGTTTAGGAGTCACAAAGGTTGAGATCACGTTTGCCGGGAAAAATGGCAAATTTCTCTAACTTCGGCAATTATGATTCATTCTTACTATTTCTGTTTCACCGAAGTGATGTATTTCACAAAATTGTAGTAGGGGAACAAGGCACAAACTGGTTTTATCACACTACTTCCTCCACCAAAATTATGAGAGTCCAGTACTTCCACTGTATAAAATGCAGAGAAAATTGGAGGAGTAAGGCAGAATTCATCCCCTTTTGCCCTTCAAAACAGTATTGAAATGGATTCAAAAATGCAAAGAGTCTCCTAATAAAAAAGTTAATTATATCATCAAATTTTCTCCAGAGTTTATATTAAAGATGGTCTAAAGTTAATAAAACATGTATTGAAAAGAAAGACCACAGTAAAAGGACAGCTGTCTTTCACTGTCATTAAGAGGCAACCTGTTTTTCTAACAAAGTGCTACTGTGGAGCAACAGTAAGAGAGCAGAGCTTGAGCAACCAATATCCAGTCCTACTGCAAATTCCATCAGATAGAAATGCAACTGACATATGCAGGAACCCTGTCAACATTTTCAATTTTGAATACTTTCTCTCCAAAATACTGATGGTGGTGATAAAGGAGCCTTTATCACTATGATCTATAAGTTCACAGGAAGTACAGGTTTTCCTTACTTCCTGGTGACTAGAATAGGGCATTAAAACAAAAGGTGTCAGTCTTAATTTGATCCTTCATTTCTCCAGTCGTACTTCTTCAGCTGTATTGATGCATACAGCTTCCCAACATTTAAGTATCTCAGGAGTTGTTGAATAAGAAAAACGCTCTCTGATTTTCTAGGTTACTACTTCAGCTATATTGCACCCTCGCATCAGAATGTGCAGATAGTCCAGCCTCTAGTTGCATTTCTCTCATCCATACATTTCAGAATCTCTCCAATTTAGAGACAAGGATGTCGTATGGGACAGTGTCAAATGCTTTGCACAAGTCTAGGTAGATGATGTCAGTCGTTCCTCCCTTATCCACCAACGCTGTAACCCCGTCATAGGAGTCCACCAAATTTCTCAGGCACAATTTGCCCTTAGTAAAGCCATGTTCGCTGTCACCAGTCACCTCCTTATTTTCCAAGTACCTTAGCATAGTTTTCAGGAGGATCTGCTCCATGATCTTGCCAGGCACAGAGGTGAGACTGACTGGGTGGTAGTTCCCTGGGTCTTCTTTTTTTTTCTTTTTAAAAATGGGGGTTATGTTTCCCCTTTTCCAGTCAGCAGAAACTTCCCCAGACTGCCACAACTTCTCAAATATGACTTCTTATAATTAGACACCAAATGTCAGAATAAGCAGGAAGAGTAGTAAAGCAGAGGAAAAAGTAAAGTTACTGTTACTACAGTAAATGTGTGAATAACTATGTTACCTAAAAGAGTTTGAAACAGAAGTAAAGCATGACATAGAAAGCATTTAACAGAGGAAAGGAAGGAAAAACATAAGAAAAGCAAGAGGACAGGAAGCTCACTTTGTAGTAGTCAAAAATGAGAGCTTGTGCACAGCCACCGAAGCTGCAGTAGTGAAATGGAAGACAAGAACGACAGTGCTCTTTCTCACTACACTGTCAGAAATTTCAGTTTTATCACGTGCCAGCTAGGTAGTACTGCAAAGCTATGGTTATTTTACAAAATTCTGGGATCATCAGTCAAAAGACAGAATTCTCCTTTCCCTATGCATCTACAATGCAAATACTCAGTTCCCATTATGGTGCTATCCTATAGCAGTTCCATTGCTACATTTTTATTGCTGTCACGGCTGGTAGCTTTTACTGGTCATCATCATCAAAGTCACCATTCCACGCACTGTGTACATGAGACAACAGAAGGGATAAACTGGCAAAACATGGTACACTGTTCTGGAAAGAGAAGACTAAGTAAAAGGGGGAAGTAAAATACAGAGTATGGTTTAGAGACAAATATATAAAAATGAAGATAGTTTTAAGGAAAATTCAGTGAGCCAAGAATCAAGACATTAATATATATGGAGGAAAAAAATAAAAGAACAAAGCTAGCCTAAGTTAATAATAAAAGATATGCAAAATATTAAGTCTCATTAGGGATCACCCAACAGACAAAATGCAGCACCTCATTAATCATCAGTTAATTTCTCTTTGATAAACACAATTTCTGCTATCAAAGTCTTTTTAAAATGTCATTATCAGCTCTGAATCAAAGTCCATGATACTGGTTTTGCACAGTTAAATCTTATAGTAATCACATCATCACATAATGGCTTTATTCCAATAATTTGTTTCTTCAATGTATGCTAAGACAGTGGTTGCAAGATGAATAGAGCCAAAACCTGCATTCAATGCCAATCCTCAGAGATGGAAGATGTAGCAAATTTCTGAACTACTCAAGCTATATACAATTGGTTATCAGGCAACCCAAAAATAACTTTGTATCCATTTAGCAACAAACTATTACCCTCAGTAACCAATAAATTTAGCCACACAATGGAACACAAATATGTATAAACAGTAATATTTCACAACACAGATCCCACAGTGGAAAAGAGTTGAGTACACGTATTGCAGAATTTACTATTGCAAATTTTTCACTGCATAGAAACATTTTTCTGGTGTTACAGTTTTGCTACTTTTACTGAAAAGAATCCATTTCATAAATTGTAAAATTATACAAATATTTCATAGGCAAGTTTGTATTTCCTGCTATTAAAACATAAAATGGTAACAAATTTTTTAATCCGATTTTTAAAGAATTTTAGTAACAATGCATATAGGAAAGCTCTTACTATGGTTGAGAGCAATGCTTACATTTTTTCTGTAGAAGGAAGATTAATATGAAGATGGTTACACCTCATACACGTGAGAAATTTTATGCAGAAGTTCCTTCCATCACAAAGCTACAAGTAGGCACTATGAAGAAGGACTACAAAGGGGAATGCAAACATCACTCTTTACAGTACTGAAGTGTAATGACATAAGGCCCAAACAATGTTCCAGTCAGGTTAATTCTCCCCATTCGCCCCCAGCAAGTACTCCACACTAGGGGATCAGAATGGATTTGGTACACAAACAGATTTCCCAACATTTGTTCAGCACAAACCAGAAAAACATGCTCTAAAAAATTGAGGAGAGAGCTTTCACTTTTCACAGAAAAAACCAAAAACAGACCACCACACTCCAGTTCAATAATGAAAGTGTTCTTTCTGTGGGAAGAAACACTAACTTGCAAATTTTGGGTGTGTTTTTTTAAATAGCATGCTGGAAATAATATTTAATAAACTCAAATAAAGCCTCATCCAAATTTCAGGGGGTTTTGTTCTTGTTTTTAAAGAGAGAACAGGAGAACTGTTGTTAGCTGACCGTATCTGCCCAGTTTACAAACTGCATGCTGTCAGGTTCCAGTGATTCCAACACATAAGAATTACGCACCATTTTTGTAAAGTTGCAAAATTTCATACGGCTTACAAAATTTACACTATGAAGCACTGGTCAGACAACAATAATGCTCCAATGTTCATATAGGATAAATTAATGGGAAACTTCAAGTTTTCATTTCCTGACAGTATAAAAAAAAAAAAAACCCACACCACAAAACATTTTCTCCAACGCACTCAACACACATTAATGACCACACAGACAGTATTTTTCATTTTTACATCATTATCTTCATTTTTGCCCTTCAAAAGTGACCAAAAAGTGGTCAATTGCCCTGTGAGATGGGACAACAGTTATTTCAAACCGTAAAAAAGGATGTAAAAACATTAGTAAATTTGCCCAAGCTTGCACCTACAAAGTCTAGAAACAGACACATCCCTCCTGCCTTCACAATAATGGTATAAAAAGTCTTTCCTTCTACCTCATAAAGGATATAACCCAAATACCCTCCATTCTGACTTCTCCACAAATATATTCTCCTGGTATCTGCAAAATCTGCAGTCACCTACTTCTAACTCCCCACTTCTTATTATATACATTGTATTGTATCAATATAAAGCAGATTATTCACAGTCGTTTCAAATACCTGGCTGTCAAGTAACCCAGTCAACTGAAATCTAAAGTAAGGACTGTACAAAGCAAGATTTCCCAAAGTCTTACAGGGAAAAGCTTCCTCCTTTCCTCAGGGGAAAAAAAAAAATCCATCCAGATAATCAAATATACTAAGTCAAAGTGCTGTTGTTCTGATAATTAACTTATTTCAGTGAGCTGTTTCCATTCCAGAACTGCAACAAGGGCCACATATCTATACTCCCTTCATTACCTAACGTTTAGTTTTGATCAAGCAGATTAATAAAGACTATAGTCTCAGAAAAAAAAACGGATTGTTTTTTTCAAAGCAAAATCTGGCACTTACAGAACAACCAGTAGAAAGCCAGAGCCACAAAAGACACAAGAAAACAGAAAAAAAAAAGATGAGATGCATTTCTAAATACATCAACTTTGCAAAGACTGTGCCCTACTTGTGGGAGCTCACAGTTTAAGAACCAGTCTTAGACATGGGCACGCACTTGCAGATGTGTGCAGTTTTACTGCTATTTCATTTTTTTTGTGAGAGGCACGGAGGGGGGGAGGTGCACACGTATCAGTTTTTGTATGAGATCATAGGATACTTCACGTTGGAAGGGACTTCAGAAAGCCTGTAGTCCAACCTCCCACTCAAAGCAGGGTCAGCTATGAGATCTGACCAGGTTTTCCAAAGTTTTATCCAGCCCAGTCTTGAAAACCTCCAGTGTTGGAGACTCCACAAACTCTTTGGGCAACCTAATCCACTGCTTGACTGTCCCATGGGGAAAAAGATTCTCCTTGTACCTAGCCTGAATCTCTCTTGTTTCAATTTGTGCCCATTGTCTCCTGTCCTCCAACCACGCACTACTGTGGAGAGCCTGACTAAGTCTTCTTGGGGACATCCCCGCTGGTACTGGAAGGCTGCTAGTGGGTCTGCAGAAGCCTTCTCCAAGCTAAACAAGCCCAGTTTCCTTGCCCTCTCCTCATAGGTCGTACACTCCAGGCCCCTGATCACCTTGTATATATTTAATAATTTTTAATTGTCAGTCAATCCTATCTCATTTACTATTTTCTGACAGAGGATCACATTGATTTTGATTACTGCTGCATTTCATAGTTTGCTTTAGTGAATTTAAATTTAACAAGTGGTACGAATTCATTACGTAAGGTGACCTCCCCTGCAACAGTGTACTGTTGCACTTGATAAAGAAGCAATTGCAGTTACCTCCACAATAAAGCAAAAATAAACACACTCATTGACAGCCTGTGTTTGCTGATCAGTTTGACCAGACTTTCTTCTACTCAGTAATCATACATGCCAGATGATACCAGTGACCCAAATGCTGTCTGCAAAAAATTCCTCATTTAAAAGTACGGGGGTTTTAAGCAACAAAAAGTCAAGGCACACAATACCCTCTCCAAAGTTTACAGAATTCAAACAGAACACCAGATTCCATGAGATTAATTTCAGCAACTACTACACATATGAAAATCTAAGACCTGCAGAAGTGCCTCAGAAAGCAAAAGCATAGTTTACTATGTTTTTTCCCATTCTCTAGAAGCCTTTCTTGATTAACATTTTAACTGGTCGTGAACACTGGATCTTTACATGACAGCAGGCTTTCAGAAAAATGGAGAAAAAAATTAAAACCCTTTCAAAGGCTATTTTTCAGCAAGTGTTCTTAATTTGTCACTTGGAAAAAGAGTGAGCTAAGCAATACAACTGCTCTTCAATTTTGGTTTTGTTAAAAATATAAAGAGATTTCGTGTAAGTTGAGCAACTTTATTTTCTTTGAAGTATGTATTTCTGCATGCAGATGAAGGGAATGCCTATGGCTTATATACAGAAAGAAATTAAAAAACATCCACCACCCCCTTATGCAACAGAAAGTTAAGAAAAACAATCACATGGACTATTATTCTGGCCCATGTCACCCTAATAATAACACAACGGTAGGTTTTCTCTAACAAGCTCTTTGGTTATGTATTTCAAATAAAATAATATTCATATAAGAGTCCTGTTTTCAGTGTTGCTATAACTGCAAAATTTTCATATTAACTTTCTGGTCCTGTATATGGCACCACAAAAATTTACATACATATAAACTTGACCTGTTCTACCTGGCGGTCCAGATGATGAATCAGTTCCTAGAAAGTTCAGGATAAATTCTGTTCTGCCTGCAAATACCAAGCAACTCAGCTGCAGAGCTTGTGACATGGCCTATGCCTGACGAGGCCGAACCTAGACAAGTACTCCAGAACTCACATGTGACCCTTCCCTCTGAAAAGGCTGGGCAGATCCCATACAAACTATACACTGGATATTCAGTGATCTTTTTTTGACACAATTAAGCTGAAGCTATTTTTACATATTAACTTCTGTTATCTAGTTACATTAACCAATTACCTCTAGTCACAGAAGATGCTATAAAAAGTTCTATTAAAATTATTTCATTTTTATAACACTATTCAGTTTCATGATCTTGGCATTCAGTTATAGAATCAGTATGTTGAAAACCAACTCTACAGCAACAGATTAGAATAAGAACTGTTCTGTAAACCATATTTTCCTTTAGATATCATTTATTAAAACAAACATTTTTGCTGTAATTAAAATCAAAGTTCTATAGATAAAAAGTTTAACCCAACTTTTCAAACAGAGTATATAACTACAGGAGTAAACATGTAAATAATATATAGACTTCTCTATCACATGACCCGGAGTTAAGAGGATCAGATATTTACCTGAACACACTTAGCTCTCTAGGAATGCAACAGAAAAGCAGGCACAGGCCTCTAAATTTCCTGGTCCCAATTAATCATAGAGCTGCCAAGAAAAAACTTCTGGGTAGATGCATCAAATTCCTCTGTCATCTACTTTAACAAAACCAAAGATTTTTCAAACTGAAATAGCATGGCCAGCATACATCATGAAATCAGCCCACTTGTATTAATAAAATTTTGACTAACCATTTATTTCAAAAGAACAGCTCCTTTCACAGCACACATGCTGTATAGCATGGTGCTTGTGCCCATGAATTTCCATTGAAGAGTCTTGACTCTTAACTCACGATATAACTGGTGGTTGCAGAGTCACAGTTTTAAGCACTTCATTCCTCCAACTCTTTGATACAAATACAATTGTACTTGCCTATTCCATGAACTCTGATTAAGGATGTTTTCTTTTTTAAAAATCAGTTTTATGAATCTATGAAGTGTGATAACTGAACACAAAGAAAATTCGCTTGCATGCCTTCAAACTAAAACAAAGAAGTCTTTAGTCTCAAGTTTGCTGCATTAACACACCGAACATCTCACACATGACACTGCATTCCACACTACTGTGGAAATGCTCTTTGCTTACTACGGCTTCACAAGCAACTGAAAGCAAACAAACGAAAACCTGTAGAAAAGTTTAGTTTGATTTTGGAAGAGAGAGTATTTTCCTAAAAGCTAACAGTTTTAACAGACAACTTATGTGGAAATTCATAAAGTTCACATGTGAAACAGTCAATTAAAAGGTGCATTAAGTTTTATAATTAGACATCAAAACATACAATATACATGAAATAATTACGCTTTTAGTAAATACTGCACATTGTCTTCCGTACCATTTTTGTAAATAGTCCAGTGCCTCCAAACGAGCACCAATCTCAAATGTGATTCCAGGACGATTTGGAGGCTTTTTACTCATCTTGATATATTCTTTTTCACTACCTTTGGAGGAAAAAAGAAAGCCGTATTAAAACACATAATGTTGCCTAAAACATGTCACTGACAGCAAATATATTCCATAGTGTGGAAAAAGATGTGACACTTCTATCTTGACTTTCCATTAACTGCTTAGTTTTCAGAAGTACAGTCAAGGCCCAAAGAAAGTATTAAAAAAAATTCACGTATTTTTATTCAGATTTCTTTCACATCCAAAAGAAAAAAGTCATCAACCTCAAATCAATAAAAAAAAAAAATAAAAATCTGGTGTTCATCTCTGGAACTGTACTACACTGTAATTCTTTGACATCCTTTTGGAGTATAATTTTAAGAGTTACCTAGAGTCAATGTGTATTCTCTCCTCTGGTGTGGAAAAGGTCAAAACCAAGAAAAATTTACCTTGCCAAGAACCGAAATTTAAAGATAAACATACCTAAAGGACAAGTAAAACGAAATTAGAAAAAAAAAAATAAACAAACAAAAAAGCCATCTTCAGCCTTTCTATGCACTCTCGAGCCTCATTCATGGCACTAAGTAAGTTTCATTCACAAGTGCCTTGTAATGTTTGTTCAGTAATTCAGTCACTATCAAAAAATCACTTCTCTGGCCAACTACTATCGCTATTACCCCGACTTTCTGATGTACTACCTTTATCATCCCGACGCACAGAGTGGCTTGCCGTTGGGGCCGCAGGCGCCTGCTGCATGCCTACTGAAGACCAAGGATGCCAGGCTGCAGGGCCAAAGCCTCCTCAGTCCGGACCGCAAGAGGAGCGGCATCTGGACCCCAGTTTTTAAGCGGGGTTCCCCTGCCAACGCTGGGATCGCGATGCGGGGCAGCTGCCTCGGAGGCG